TGTGAGACCTCAAATAAACTTTTCCTCCCTAATCTGACGAAAACAACCACTGGCTTGCTGTTCCTGACACCCCAAAATGTAATTGAAAAAAAGCGTAGGGTAAGTGCAACACACACCACTCCTTTTTGAAAAAGGAGGAAGRAGGTACATGGCGGTCACATCCACATTTTTTTCTTTATTGTGGGTCAATCGTGAGCCTGTGATGTGACAATTTCCTTAATTGTTTTTTAAAAGACATATGAATTAACCCAAGTTTATGCCTTTAAAATGCTTAGAAATCTTACTAGTCGTTGAAGTTCTGACAAAGTATCATATAACCAGATTGTGGATATCTTTATTTTAGAGGCAAGAGTTTCCTGACAGTATTGTGAATTTGATCTTTTTCTTGAAACCATTTCTTACTTGAAGAGTCTTTGTTGAGGGTGATTTTTGTATGAGAAACACGTCTATTTCTAAACCCAGACGCTTTTGGACTCTTTATGGTTTCTTTCAACTCTTATCAAAAATTTAAACACCGTCTTTCAATCATCCCTTTATATCCTTTTACCACTGGTGTCATTTTCTATTGTCTCATGAGAAATTTCCCTAAGAAAATCTGAGTTTACTAAAAGTGCTATTTTCCAGGCTACAGTTTGGGAGATTACTGCCTTCCTTCCCAACAATGGACAATAAGCATTTTTAACAAACTCCAACAACATTTCACTCTTTCATTTTTAAACACTTAAAACTGTTTCCTCAAGGACTTTCCATTTTTTTTCCACTACAAACTCCTTTAAAACCCTGCTGATTCTCCATATCATGAGTTCCAAAAAATTTTTAAAAAGATGCTTTAAGTTTTGATTACAATCACACCATGTGTTTGAATGCCAAATTCTAGTCTCGTCATTTATTGCTGTATATGGAATCTTATCTGGTTAAATTAACAACAATTATTTATTTTGCACATAAATCTGCAAGTTGGCAGGAACTCAGTGCAGTATTTGTTTGTGTCTGCTCTACGTAGGGTCAGCTTAGATTGTTAAATTGGACTAAAAGTTCCACCTCTAAGATTACTCATTTATGTGGCTGATTGGTTCATGTTGCTATTATTTGTATGCTCAGGGGGAGAYTTTTGACCAAGAGTCTTGGTTTCACACCAGAGATTCTCAAAGGTTTGCCATGTCCAACATGGCAGCTAGTGAGCAAGTGGATGCTCCAAGAAACAGGAAATACAAGCTGACAAAATCTATGCAGCAAGTTTTAGAGCATCACTTTGGCTATAATCTGTTGATCAATGWAGTTACCCAACTGGCTTAGTTTCAAGGTAATGGGGCATATTTACCACCTCTACAAGTCAAARGTGTGGAAAAAAGGTGTGACTATCATTTGTGTACCCAGAGAAAGTTAAAGCCCAAGGATGAATCTTCTCAGTAAAGTATTTCCAAAGATCTACCCATTATCTTAATTTCTGGTAGAACTAAAGAATAAAGGAGTCACCAAAAGTTCCTTTATTAATAACTTGGACTTTCTTCTAATTTTCCATSCTTGCAACATCTCTGACATTGTACATGAGCCCCTGAGAGAGACATCAATGAGTGTCTAGAATTTGCTCCATTTCCAGCTCAGCTCAAATGTGTGGACTCACTGTCATAAAGAAAAATTGTGCAACCTAAAATAGGCAGAGAGCTGCTGAAATCTATACCAGCATGCTGTCACATTTTCCTCCATAACCTCAAATTTCTTTTTTTAATTTATTGAACACATATTTACCAAACTCATATTATATGCCAGACACAAATGAACTTGTTTCCTAAGCGTTGAAAGGTTTATGGTGATTCTCCCATTCTAAAATTCTGTCCTCTGGTTTGGGTTTTTGTATCTTTTTTTCCCTCTCTTCCAGATTTCAGAAGTGGACATATGAAATGATCTAATAAAGATCATTTCCTCTAACATAAAAATGAAAATATAGAGGCATTGAGTACGGAAAATCAAAGGGGACAGTGACACTTGTGTCTTTTTTAACCAATGTGCCTGGGACACTTCAACTCTCTAATGAGCACCCAGAGAATTTCTAAAAGGGAGTCAACCAATCTGCATGGTGTATTAGAAAGGCCCTTCTCTTTGGCCAGCTAATTTTATAGAGTGTATTTACCTATGTTTCCACTTGCTAATTAGAAAAATTATGGACAAATATTGAGCACAGTGTGGTAATCCCCTGGGGAGGAGGGGATCTCCCTTAACAAACAAGGCATTGAGGTCATGGCTAATGTGAACAGGAAAGACCACAGGTAATATTCATTGAGACTAAAATACCCAAGGAGAAAGGGCTCAGGTGATACTTTTCTGTGGAATTAATGGTGTTCTTATGTGAGTCAGAGATTTCCTGGAAAATGAATAAGGGCTCATGTACATCATAACAGGGATGTACACGAGTCCTTATTTATTGCTATATAAATTTTGGCAAATTTCACCTAGAAACTTGCACAGACATTTCTTGGAGGTTTCCAAGAATGAAGAAACCTCCTTGCCATAGAACACTAAAACTCTGACTTGATGGAATGTGACATTTTATTTTACTTAGGGACTTGGAATTTCTTAATTGAAAGGAGTAGTAATTGTCAAGGAATTCATTTGTGTGTCAAATTTTAAAATCATTGCTTTCCAATAATCTAGCTCTGTTTCCCCCTAGGTACTGGTACTAAAAAGAAGACCAAGAAAGTGAAAAGGTAGAGGTGACTTTTCAGGAAGAACAGTTAAATGCATGGTGTGTATGCCTATTTATTTAAAAGTTTAGAACAAGGCAACTAGAACTCCTGGTTCTAGTCAAATTTCAAATTTTATTAAAATGTGGCTAAGAAAAAGAGCCAATAATGACAATTTATTTATTTGCAAAGGTGTTCAAACTTGAAAGTAAAGTATTTTAAAATGCACATAAAAAAAGTTTAGTGAGATAATGGAGAAGACACTTGATAATCAAAAATGATAATGAGATAGCTGAAGGTTTTAATGGATCTTTTGCTTCTTGATCTGTAAAGTGATGTCAGAAAGATTTTACATCCCAAAATATTAAGACATAAGGTTAATATTGCATGCTAAATTTATACTAAGGAAACAATTTGGGAAATTCCTGAAGTTAAATGCCATGTATCTGGGAGTTTGAAATGATTGTGAGAAATTGGTCATCTAATTTTTCAAAAACTTTCCAAACACTTATCATATGCTGGGGACTATTGTGTTTGTGGAAGATGCAGTTTTGGGTATCTGGCAAATAATAATTCAGAGTCARAGATAGAATAGTCATAGCAAAGCAAATAAAATTTCGATGATTATTAAGGAAAACTAGAGACAGTAGTCAAGTATGGTTATCAAGTTGCAGGAAAGATTCCATGAGTACAGTCATTTTTTACTGAAAATTGAAGGAAGTCTACTATATTGAATGAAAATAACAACAWATAAAGCATGGGATATTTCTAGGTGTTAGAAGTAATATGAAAAATGGCTTGGTTATTCAAAATTTCTTAAAGTGCATGTAAAGGAATACACACTTGCAGTTATAAGTAGAAAGGTAGATTTGGGAAGAGTATGAAAGACCTAGAAGATCTTACAAATAATTGAGGGTCATTTAGTTTTGTTAATATGATTCAATTTGTCCTGTATAAGCATAATTCTTCCTGTATTGTAGAAAAGAGTTCATAGTGACAAGAGAGACTCYAAGGGGTCTATTCATAATGGTCTTGTAATAGTTGAGACAAGAGCTAATTTCTTTTTGAAAAAAATGGATTTTAGAAGTATTTTTTAAATAGATCGGATGTGAAGGATGAAAAAAAAATAGTGAGTTTAAACATTTCTTTGAAATGTACAGCTTGAATGACTAGGAATATTTTTGAAACATTTTTTTGAGATACGGGATCTAGGGACACATTTGGGCAGGAGGTGAAATAGGAAAAGAATATTTTGATTAAAATTTATAAAAGCTAATGCCAGCCTTGATAACTGTGTCAGAGGTCTTAGGGGAAGTATCTTATACTCTCTTCTTAGAAATATAGAGGCAGATCCTGGGTATGACAATCTGATGGCCCTCCATCTCAGGTATATGAGAGTTAATTCATTAAATGGCCAAGCAGTGAATGCTGATGAAGCACTAAATTATTCTAGCAGTGTGTTTTGTAAGGAGAAATCAGGCCTAGTATCTTATAAGAGTTTATAGTGCAATCATAAAGCCAGCTCTAAGACGCTAGCAAATTAATTTAAGGGGATGACTGCATAGAAATGGGGTAGATAATTATTTCTGAATGTGAACTGTTCTCCTTTAAAAACAAACAATTCAAAGGTAGATCCATGGAATATTTCCCTAAGTGAGGGATGCATTAAAAGGAGATGTGTGTGTGTATTGGAGTATCAATCCTCTGATGTTAGTGCTATTGTATATTGAYGTAAGTACAAAAAATCAGGATAAAGGTCTGACCCTCTGAAATGATAATGTAGATAAAGGCTTTTATGAGGATTAATTCATTTAAAAAAATTGAGTGAAAATTTCGTAAGTCTCCAAGGAAGGGACTTGGCTTCATTTGAGCCAATGACTACATATTTTACATAAAGAGTGTCCCCAGATTTATGGCTAAAATCATTGGCAGAAAAATAATGGCTTGAGCTCCTATATTTATACACACACACACACACATATATGTGATATGTATGTATAATTTTGTATAATTTATATATATAATCACACATTATACCCACTGCCCACTGTTGAACCCCATGGTATATAGTCTCTGGAACAAAGGGTATAGCTAGCCGTTGGAAATTGACTAGAAAATCTGGGGTTTCTCTTAAGAGAGAATATATATATACTCGAATAATTCCTGGTTTACAATTTTTTTATGTCCCCCCATATCTGTTGGTCTCTCATTCAAACAAGACTGGCATAGCTACTTTTTGAGGGTAAATTTCTCTGATTCCCAATTTGAAAGGTTTCTGGACCTGATCGTATTGGTTTTATTGCATGGGAGCAACTCTTCATGGATAACTCCTCCGCTGTCACCGAGTTCCTCCTGCTGGGTTTCTCCAGCCTGGGGGAATTGCAGCTTGTCCTCTTTGCTGTCTTCCTCTGTCTCTACCTGATCATCTTGAGTGGAAACATGACCATCATTTCCGTCATCTTCTTGGATCGCAGCCTCCACACACCCATGTATTTMTTTTTAGGCATCCTTTCTACCTCTGAGATCTTCTACACAATTGTCATCCTGCCCAAGATGCTTATCAACCTGCTGTCTGTGTTGAGGACAATCTCCTTCCTGAGTTGTGCCACCCAGATGTTCTTCTTCCTGGGTTTTGCTGTCACCAACTGTCTGCTCCTGGGAGTGATGGGTTATGATCGCTATGCTGCCATCTGCCAGCCTTTGCACTACCCCATTCTCATGAGCTGGAGGRTATGTGGACAACTGGCCGCAACTTGCATTGTTAGCGGATTCCTGATATCTCTGGTGGGGACATCTTTGGTTTTCATCCTCCCTTTCTGTGGCTCCAACAAGGTCAACCACTACTTTTGTGATATTTCTCCGGTCATCCGTCTTGCCTGTGCTGACACCTACATCAATGAACTGGTCATCTTCATCTGTGGGGTCTTGGTGCTGGTCGTACCCTTGATCTTCATCTGCATCTCCTATGGCTTCATTGTTCGCACCATCCTGAGGATCCCATCAGCTGAGGGCAAGCGCAAAGCCTTCTCCACCTGCGCTTCCCACCTCATTGTGGTCATTGTCCACTACGGCTGTGCCTCCTTCGTCTATTTGAGACCTTCATCCAAATATACATCTGGCAAAGACAGGCTGGTGAYGGTGACTTATACTATTATCACCCCACTGTTGAACCCCATGGTATACAGCCTCCGGAACAAAGATGTGCAGCCATTCGGAAAGTGATTGGAAAGACTGGGTTTTCTCTTAAGAAACTATGATAGGAACACTTTTCAACAGTGCCCACACATTTGGACCAAGTGTGTTACTAACTTTTAAAGTCATGACAATATCTAGTTTACTCATTGAACTCTATGGCATTGAACGAGTTCTTTGACATCTTGGGCCTTCGTGTTTTCCTATGTAAATCTGGAAACTTTTCTTCTCAGCATTAGGGTAAAGGTCAAAGGAGATATGTTTTCATATGTAGCAATAAAGAATACCTGTCATTCTCTTTCTCTTTTTTTCTTTAGATTTATAGCTTTCATAAAAGTCTTAGCCATCATTATCTCTTGCCCTATAATTGTCTTGTTTATCTTAATCTCCAATTTTAGACTTTGTTTAAGATTATGTTCAGTTTAAAATGAGATTTCCAGATCTGAAGGCGGCTTTGGTCTAGTTGCACGGTGCGGCAGAGAGCAACATTACCCTACAGTAATTGGATGAGTTAAGAATCAAACATTGGTTSGGTCATGATTTCATCTATGATTCTTCTACATCTAAATATTAGTACATGGAAAATAGGAAAATGGAATTTTCCTTTTCTGTTTCACAAGGATTTTGTTGTCTAATAAATGATGTAAAAGCATATGTAAAACAGAAAACTGCATAGACTGTCAGACTCATATGAAAGGCTTTGCTCATTTCCATGAGGATTCTATTTCATTCAGATTCTTTGAACARTCAGTTCAGGCTGCCTGTTCTGACTAGGCCTTTGAGCCTCTCTGTAACACAGAAGTGAATGGATAAGAATGATCAACCATCCTGTCCCATCTCAGGCTGAAAATGTCTGCATGGCTTGCCACACAGCATTCCTTAAGGAAAGGGAGCTTCCACGCCTCAAATTGATCACGGGACTAGGTAAGACTAGAGAAGGAAAGACTTGGGTGTTTGTCTGTTCCTACCTCTCCCCTATGTAGAAATCCCTTCATCAGTATCTTGGAGGAAAACCAGCAAACCTGACTGAAAATCAGCGACTCCACAAAAATGCCTATTCCTGATGTACTCTGCTCTTATTTGCCCTCATCTCAGCTGATATTTGCCTCTGGGACTTTCATAGATTCTGTATTATATCATAGAGTGAGTAATAATCCAGGTTTACAGCTATTTGAGATAGTTGTGGTGACAATCTGGGCCATTTATTTTACCCAAGTCCTGAATTTTAGACAGCTCACCCTCTAGGGTACAGTCTTCAGGATAGGCCATAGTTCACCAATATTCTTTTTAAAACACAGCGAATGCAACTGGAACACACTTGTCCTGTGTGACTTCTTTTTCCAGGTGTAGTAAAATTGTATCCTCCCCAATAATTAATTGTAGTTAGGTTTTCAAAGTGTCAATACAAATCGCAAGTTGTATTTCTTATGTTTTAAAAATTATTACCGCAATTCCTATTTTTGTCTCCTTTGCTTCAATTGGTAGGTAAGTCATTTTATTTATTTTTATTCTTCAGTAGTTAAATAAGGTATCTCAGCACTACCTGTCTCTATAAGTACAGTGGCGGTCACCTCCATTACTTTTTTTTCCCTGTAGGCTTCTTGATTCTCATTTCTTAACCAAATACTTTCTAGGACTGGAATGTTAAATTATCATGAATATTTTTCTTGCTGGTATTTAAGTAACTTCTGCTATTTATTTCCAGTTTTGTCGTGTGTTAATGGGACAATGTGATTGACATCGTTCTATTTTTATAATTTAACAAATTCTATTATTGGCTGATTTTTAATTATGCCTTGTAAAGAAACTTCACTTAGATTAAAACTTTTGGATGTGTGCCAAGGATGTAATTATGTGATGGATTCGTTTTTATTAATTAAATTCTTTTAGTTACATTACATCATTTATTTGGCACGTATGTAAAATACATGCAGAGATTCATTGTGCTGAATTAAAATATTTTCCTTCACTTGTGCTCATTAGCTTTTTCATTACATTTCTACCATCACCTACTTGTGAATATGTTATAGCATCTTCTTTTTAAAATGCTAACTAGAACTTTTGTGATTTAACATCTATGTTCTACCCATAAACACACTCACATGGTAGTAAGGGCACAAGAAACACAYGTAAGCACTCAMGAAGTTCAAAAGGGGAGGATGGYGCATGGGGGATAAACAAGTATCCATTTTWAAAAAATTTAAAAAAGGATGATTGGCAGGGTTCTTAACAGAAAAGAGACAWCTGAAAATGCACCTGCACAAAGGGGACCCTGGGGCTGGGGTTGTGGCTCAGTGGTAGAGCACTCCCCTAGCATGGGAGAGCTCTGGGTTCGACCCTCAGCACCAGATAAAAAGATAAATAAAGAAAGAAATTGTGTCCACCTACAACTAAAAAATACTTCTTTTAAAAAAAAGGGGGGGGCGAGGGACACCAAACAAAAGTGGGCCAGTTTACAACACACTGCACATCTTCACAACGGAGCCACCCAGATGGCACTGAGAAGAGTAATATTGGTTTAATATGGGAATAAAGCAACACAGCTTCTTGATCCGTGCATCTCACACAACTGCCGTGAAGGCACGGTTTTTCTTTTCCCATTTCCTATAAAAAAACAAGGCTTCGGTAAAATATAACAAAACAAAAATAAACAAAACAAATTGCTCAATACCAAAGAGTGGATATTAAGTGCTCTTGCCACAAAATGATGACTATGTGAGGTCATGTGTACRCTGGATTTAATCATTCCCTATTGCATATATACTTCAAAATATTCTATTGTACATGATACATACAATGCTATCTGTTGATTATAAAAACAAGTGAAAGTGAAAACAAATTTCCAGCAAAATGAAAAACTTGAACTATTGTGTCTTCCATTCCAACAGATTTGTCGGATGATTGTGTACCTGTGTATCTCAGTAATAKTCACCTCCAAAAAGGTTGCCTCCCATTTACATTCAACTTCTACACCAATCTCATCTGAAGCCCATAATTGAAATCCCATAGACTGACAATAGACCGCAGTGCCCCTGGAGTGGTATTGTTCTATGTCTCATTCTTTCCCCGGGTAAAACTAGAGGTTTAGTTGTATGACAATAAAGCAGAGGAGTTTAGGGTTAGAGACACAAGGCAGAATGGAGGCACATGTGAGAGCCTACATTCAAAGCCAAGGAAAAAGTCAATGCTACTTCAACCACAAACAAAGCATTTGTTTGTGTGCTCTCAGAGCATGCAGCATCCCCAGCCTCTTTCCCATGCCCAGGTGGACACCTGGAATAAACCCCTCAGCCAGAAAGCAGGAGCACCTCTTTCTAGAGAAGCAATGGGGGTTCAGGGTTACCTCCGGGAGATAAATAGCATGGTTTTGCCTAACCCTTCTACACAAGCATTTCTCATGTACAAAGAACTTCAAACAAGCTTTTTATGTGCCATGGTCTTGAATATATTTAAACATTCACCTGTTATTGGATGTTTGAAAAAGGCTTGAACATGAAATACAGAGGGATAAACATGAAATAAAAATAAACTCAGGAGAAATACAGAAAATTCAGAGTAGAAAATAAGATGATTACTATTCTCATATAAAATACGTTGAMTCTATAAAAATATTTCATGTATACCTTTTTAATCAAAACACAAACACACAGAAAAGCATACAAATCATAATTGACACATGGAAGGATTATCACAAAGTGAACAATGAATAGGTCTAAAAACAGAGCATCACAAACATTTCCTTTTCTCCCTCTCTTTTCCCCAAAATAAATAACTTCATGGCATCTGATATGCCAATCATCATTCATGATTACAAATTATCACAATAGAATCATACAGAAAACATTCTCTAGTATTATTTTTAGAATTGTTTTTCACTTTATATCTCATTTTTTTCCCTGATTGGCTTATCTAGTTTATTTATTTAGTATTCTGCTCCTCCAAGTTTGGACTTTATTTATGAAACRATTTTCTTTTCATTTCTGCTTCCTGATCTAGCCCCCACTTTTAAAACATTTCTTTCTCTAATCATTCTTTTAAATTCCAATCTTTGCTATTATTTCATAGTTTCTATCACTTTAAGTTTATTTTCGCTCATTTTGAAATGTTTGCTTCAAGTGTTCATCTTTCATTTTGTTCTCATATCTTCTGGGCTCTTGCAGGTTGTATTCGGTGGGAAGCACACTTGGCCAGTGGGGTGTTTATTAATAGACACACAGGAGCAGAGCATGTTGACCAGAGGGAGAAGTCAAATCCAATGCACTTCTAGGGCCAGGCTTGGCTGAGCCAACAGAGAACGGTGTAGCTAGAAGAACCATTCAGAATAGGCCCAGGCTATGCTTTAAGAATAGCTGAGGCTTTATGGACCTCATGAGTCTGAGCATAGGTAGAGTTTTCTCCAGAAAAAGGGCTCACTTTGGACAAGGTGTCTRCGTATTTGGTAAAATGTGGAAGTCTCCCTACTGAAAACACTACAGAAAACAGGGGTGACAAGGCCCCTTGCCTAAAGGAGTGTCTGGGTACATCAAGGTTTCCACTACACTGACACAGTGATTTTCTAGGAATATTCTACTGATTATATTATAATAACTTCACGAAGACACGTATGTGATCTTTTTCAGAATGCATGCTTATATGAGATTGGTTTTCTGCTGTTAGAAGGGAAGGACAGTCTGTGAAAATGGACCTGGATTTGTAGCCATGGAGCTCCCTCTTGTGTTATTTTGGGAATGTTGACCTGGGAGTGGAGCTTCTCGACTTGGCTCGTTTTGAATGTTGGCATATCTAATTTTTTTAAAAATTCTTTTTAGATATACATGATATTAGAGTGCATTTTGTCATCCTATACATACATGAAGTATAAGTTATTGTAATTAGGATTCCATTCTTGTGGTCGTATGTGATGTAGGATTCTGCAAACTAATTTTTAAGTTATCACCCCTGACTGTTGATTTTGTTGTTCTTGCTGTGCACGTTATACTAAGACCATCAAAACATAGTCTTCTCCTCCCCTTTCCTTTTCACAACTTTAA